CACCACTGCCTCCGCTGTCACCACCCTGCCCTCTGTAAGTTCTGAGCCTGATCTAGCACTCAAGGGCCTTGAAAGACACACAAGGACCCCCCTCCTGTCCTAGTCACACACACTCCACCCTCTTCATCCAACTTCAGATTGGGGTGAAAGAAGAAAGAGGTGTACGTCTTCTCTCCGACCTTCAGGTCTTAGATTCTCCCAGTGGGAAACTTACGTGGCTCCGAATTGGTGCCTGCTGCTCCTGTCCTGCTCCAGAGAAATATTCTGACTAGACAGATCCGCCAGTTCAGAGTAACGTGGATACACGTGGCAGAGCAAGGCCAAGCTGTCTTTTAGGCCACCAGGAATACAGCCGTGCGCATTTAAAAATACCGTAAGGCCTCGGCAGAGATACTACCGGTGTCTTTTTCTCTCCGCTCTGCAGGGAGGCTGGAAATGGTCAGGAGCCAAGTGTTTATCTGATAAGCAAAGCGTGGACGAGTTTGTTAGGAGCACTTTCTAGAGCACTACACAGGCCCTTCCTTCAAACGTAGCCGAGATTTGTAATGACATCTCGTCTCAAATGGAAGAAAGCATCCTACTGACTCAAAGGCTAAATTTTATGTGGGTAAGAGCTAGCTAAAGAAATGTGAAATTGTTCACTACAGAGAAGGAAACCAGCACAAGTAAACCCACCCTTACCTTGTTTGCTGGAGAATCCAGCCCTGGAACCAGAGAAACCACAGTCCGTGAGGATTTCAGTTCACTGATTTCACCTGCTCCTCATTCGGAATCCCTCATAAAACATAACCGAGTGGCTACGCGATGTAAATGGCGTCCTCGCCAGTCATCCTAAATGTCATCGCAAAATATGAAATATTCTCCGAACTCTTCACGCAGCAACAGGAGAAAACAGCGGGCTTTCCCAAGGTGGTAAAAGATTGAATCCAGGGTTCACTTGAAAGTCACACCACCAGTTTCTTCTGGCCCTATGTTTTCAGATCCTCACAATTTTGAGCCTCTGGAATTTCAAGCCATTGTTTTCTTTGTAGCTGAGATTTGGTAGCCTGGAGCGGGCTGTATGTTCGAGTCTTCTACGGACTACTTTCTCCTCTATTGGCCCGCCAGTCAGACCTTAGGGAGGGAGGCTCGTGGGAAACCTGAACAGAGGGAGTCCGCGTGCGTACAGTCAACCCCTAATGTCTTTTCCGGACTCGCTCGCAGCAGGGAAGACACTGCCTTGGGCCACAGCATCAATCTGCCAAGGACCCACATTTTATAGATTTAAAAAGGAAAATAAATTCCCATGTGACATTCTGAGTGTCTGACCTACAAAAGTTGCACAGAAATCTGGTCTTGGTGATTTAGCACAGCAGAACAAAGACGGGAAATCCAGTAGGCAAGAACTGTCCTTGGCTCCTGTTCTCACCTCCCAGCCCACCCCTCGGCTTGTCTTCTCCTCTCCTTCTGAGGGATTCAGGCTTCCGGCCAGTTTTCTTCATCGGTCTCCCCAGCGGATCGAATCACATAAGCAATTTATTCCACGTGATCATATGAAAATGCTTTCATTTAGTGAAACAATCATTTCATTGGAGAGAGA